AGACGTCTAGTTATTGAAAGCATCAACAGGTATGGGGAGAATGTGGAACTATAACATTGAGATAAAAGATCAGCTACAATCACATTGAATGGTGGCACGGTGGCTCAGTGGTCAGCACCGCTGCCTCACAGCACCGGGGACCCATGTTTGAGTCCAGCCTTGGGCGACGGTCTTTGTGGCATTTGTCTGTGCGGGTTTCCTCCGTGTGCTTCGGTTTCCTCCCACAGTCCAAAGATGTGCAGGTGAGGGTGGGTTGGCCATGCTAAATTGTCCCATAGTGTCCAGGGGTGTGCAGGCTAAGTGGGTTAGCCATGAGAAGTGCAGGGTTACAGGGACAGGGTTTGTGTGGGATGCTCTTCAGAGGGTTGGTGTGGACCTGAAGGGCCGAATGGCCCGCTTCTGCACTGTGGGGATTCTATAATTCACTGAATATGTTTAAGAAACAGCCGGGTAGACATTAAAAGCCTCAAGGGATACGGGGAGAACGGGGAATGTATAGCACTGAGACAAAAGATCAGCCATGATCATAGTGAATGACAGAGTGGGCTTGTTGGACTGATTGGCCTCCTCCTGCTCTTATTTTCTACGTTTCTAACAAAGAATGATCATTTGGGCTGGAATGGGGGTTTGGGTAAAATGTGTGAGGGAGTCTCTGTTTCTGATCCCCTGGCGTCACTCACTGCCCTTTGCGTGACAACGTGCAGAAGGAGGAAAAGTTAAGCTCGGTGCTAAGTGCCAGAAGATTCCTGCCCCTGTTTTTCCGCTGCACACAAGCAACGGCTTCCTGAGTTCGATTCCTCAGGGCTGGCATGCTCTCTTTCCATTTGGCATTCTCCTGCAAGTTTGCAAGCCAAAGCTCAAGCTCACACTCTGGAGGGGGTACCTCTTGGGTCTGCCTGGCTTTAACATGGAACAGGCTTCCCTCTGCTGGCTGGTTCAGTCTAAACAATGCTTGCCCAGGGAGGTGCTCACCTGGTCTCGGCTAGTTAAGTTGAGATTGTATAGGCTGTCGGTGAGGCTTCTTCTGGAGTACTGTGTCCAGTTCTGGTCGCCCTGCTATTGTAAGGTTATTGTCAAATTGGAGAGGGTTCAGAAGAGATTTACCAGGATGCTGCGGGAATGGATGCTGTGAGTTATAAGGAGAGGCTGGCACTTCTTTCACTGGAGCATAGGACATTGAGGGGTAACCTTATTGAGGTTTATAAAATCATGAGGGGCACAGATAAGGTCTTTTCCCTAGAGTAATGGATTTCAAGACTGGGGGCGTATTTTTAAGGTGAGAGGAGTAAGATTTAAAAAAGACATGAGGGGCAGATTTTTTTTACACAGAGGAATGTGGAATATGTGGAATGAACTTCTAGAAGAAGTGGTGGATGCGGGTACAGTTACAATGTTTAAAAAGACGTTTGGATAAGTACATGAATAAAAAATGTTTGGAGGGATATGGGCCAAGCGTAGGCAGATGTGACTAGTGTAGTCTGAGTTTAGGGTTGGCATGGACTGGCTGGACCAAAGAGTCTGTTTCCATGCTATATTACTGTAGTCTGTCAATCAATCCCAAGACTTGAAGGTGAGCCAATTAGGGACAGAGCAGTGGATTTACAAACATCTGTCTTCAGTGATGTTGAATTGCTTGAAATTAAATTTTATCACTGGGACAGGAGGGTGGAATCCCCCTTGCTGTTCAGTGCAGCGGCTATGGGATCTTTCACATGTGCATCTCCCGAGTGGAATGGTGGCCCCGTGGTTAGCACTGCTGCCTCACAGCACCAGAGACCTGGGTTCCGCACCACCCTCGGGGTGACTGCCTGCTCGGAGTTTACACATTCTCCCTGTGGCTGTGCAGGTTCCCTCTGGGTACTGCAGTTTCCTCCCACAATCTAAAGATATGTGGGTTAGGGTGGATTGGCTGTGCTTAAAATTATGCACGTTAGGTGGGTTACAGGGATGGGGTGGGTCTGGATGGGATGCTCTTTGGAGGGTTGGCATGGACTTGAAGGGCTGAATTGCCTGCTTCCACACTGTGGATATTCTGCATGAGAAAGGGCAGCTGAGGACTTGATTTAATACCACGTCTGCCAGGTGAAATGTCTGACAGTGTGGTACTGCGTCAAATCAGGCACTGGGAGGGTCAGACCCCAGCAGCTGGGGGATCAAACCCATGACCTCTGATCAAGAAACATGTGCACTATGTATAAAATCATGAGGGTCATGGATAGGGTGGATAGTCAAAGTCTTTTCCCCAGGGTGGGGGAATCCAAAACTAGAGGTTTAAGGTGAGAGGGGGAAAGATTTAAAAGGGACCTAAGGGGCAACTTTTTCATGCAGAGGGTGGTGCATGTATGGAATGAGCTGCCAGAGGTGGTGGTGGTGGAAGTGGGTACTATTACTACTACATTTAAAAGGCATCTGGATGGATATATGAATAGGAAGGATTTAAGAGGGATAAGGGCCAAATGTTGGCAAATGGGACTAGATTAATTTAAGGTATCTGGTTGGCATGGACTGAAGGGTCTAATTCTGTGCTATACAACTCTATGACTCTAAAAGGTCATTGGTGAACTGGCTGAGTTTTCAAAAGAAAATCATAATCTGTGGCTTCATGGCCATTGATTCAGACTCTGCAGCGGTGCCGTCTCAGCATAAATTGTACGAAATACTAGGCAAGCAGGGTAATGGCATAATTTCTGTCAATGCCTCCATCTGAAAGTAATGCTGACTAGTTGATAATGGGCCTTTCCACTGCAGATTAATCCATTTGCAAGCACTAGAGATGGTACAGATAAGATCTTCGACAATGGTTACCTTGGGTGGTGTTGTAGAACAGAGAGACCCAGGGATTCAGGTAAAGGGAAGTTAAGATGTTTTGCATGCTTGCCATCATTGCTCAGACCTTTGAGTATAGGAACAAAAACTGAAGTTGCTGGAAAAGCTCAGCAGGTCCGGCACCATCTGTGAAGAGAAATCAGAGTTAATGTTGGGGGTCCGGTGACCCTTCTTCAGAACTAGACTGAAACATTAACTCTGATTTCTCCCCACAAACGCTGCAAGACCTGCTGAGCTTTTCCAACTTCTGCTTTTGTTTCCGATTTATGGCATCCACGGTTCTTTTGGTTTTTCTTCGAGCATAGGAGTTGAGACGTCACGTTTGTGGGTGTACAGGACGTTTGTGAGGCCACTTTTGGAGAATTGTGCCCAGTTCCAGTTGCCCTCCAATATGAAGGACATTATTAAACTGGAGAGGGTCCAGAAAAGATTTACCAGGATGTTGCCGAGTCTGAAAGATTTGACTTATAAGGCGCTGGATAGGCTGGCATTAGCTGAAGTAATGGGGGGGTTCAGAGGGATGGGACCAACCAGGTTCTCACAGAGAGCCAGGGGAAAGTCTTGGCCTCGTGGTGTTATCACTGGACTGTTAATACAGAGACCCAGGTCTCTGCTCCTATGATGCTGCTTGGCCTGCTGTGTTCATCCAGCCCTGCACCTTGTTGTCTCGGATTCTCCAGCATCTGCAGTTCCTACTATCTCTAATGTTCTGGGGACCTGGGTTTGAAGGCTGCCACAGTAGATGGTGGAATTTGAATTCAAGTTTAAGAGTCTAATGATGACCACAAATCCATTGTTGATTGTCAGAAAAAACCCATTTGGTTCACTAATGTCCTTCAGGGAAGGAAACTACCATCCTTACCTGGTCTGGCCTACATATGATTCCAGACCTACAGCAAGGTGGTTGACTGTTAATTCAGGATGGGCAATACATTAAATGAATGAAAAAAAAAATTAAGCACTTTTCTTCATTTGTGGAATGTGGTAGAGCCAGCACTTATTGCCTGTCTTTAATTTCCTTTAGACATTGGTTCCGAGCTACCTTCTGGACAAGGGTGTTGGTTGCTATAGAAGTTCAGAGCCTAATAGTAAGCCACATTGCCATGCACCTGGAGTCACCTATAGGCTCAAACCAGAGAAGGAAACATGCCATCTTGAACTAAAGAACATCAGTCAACTAAATGAGTATTTACAACATAAGCCACCATTACATTAGCTTTTCATTCCAGATTTTACCGATTTTAACTTCTGCCTTGATGGGATTCAAACCCATGGCTCCAGGACATTAGTCTGAGCCTCTGGATTACTCCTCCAATGACATTATCATTAAACCACCACTTCCCCACTGACAGAATTAATCCCATACGTGTGGAGGGAACATTGGGAAAGATTCTGGCCAATCAACAGAGGAGATGTCATTTTGTTGGAAGCAGCTCAGAGAAGGTTCACTGGATTAATTCCAGAGACAAAAGGCTTGTTTTATGAAGACAGATTGAGAAATTTAGGTCCATACTTGCTCAAGTTTTGAAGAACGAAGGTGGCTCAGTGCTTAGCAACTGTCTGTATGGAGTTTGCACATTCTCCCCCTGCCCGTGCAGGCTTCCTTCCAAAGATGTGCAAGTTAGGGCAGATTGCCTATGCTAAATGTCCCCAGTGTCCAGGCTAGGTGGGTTAGCTGTGGGGTTACTAGGTAGGGGGGTGGGTCTGACCGAGATACTGGTCGGAGTGTCAGTGTGGACTTGAGCCAAAAGGCACGATTCCACACAGAAAAGGATTCTATGGCTTAAACGGGGTACGTAAGACACTAAAGGAAATTGACAAACTTGTAGGTTGAGCTAGAATGAGAGGTTACAGTTTTGGGCTCAAGGCTATCACATTTAAAATCAGGAGGAATTACTTCTGTTAAAAAGTGTTGTGAATCTGTGGAATTTACTAAACCAGAGAGTGGAGGGGTCACCAAATAAATCCAAGGTGATTTAATTAGTAATAGGTTGAAGGTTATGGAGAGCAGGCAGCAATTGTTGAGAGATCAGCCATGATCGTATTAAATGGCAGAATAGGTTCAAGGGACTGAATGGCCTACTCCAGTTCTAATGTTTTTATAATGCACAAGGTTGCGAGATCAGACTAAACTGAAGAACAAAGCTTTAAAAAAAAAGACACAGTCGACAGGATGTTTTGCAGAATTAATCAGTTTTAATTATTGTAAAAAAAAACAAACAATTTTATCCTAATGCCTTCATTTTATTTCTCTCCTCTATGTCTGCTCCCAAGACTTGTGCCAGACACCAAAAGGTTACAAGCAAGGGCTAAAAAACAATTCTCTCTTCCTGACGTACTAACCCCCAAACTCCCTTCTTCCTTACCTACTCCTCCCCGCACTTCAAAGACAGACACAATTGGGGATTGAAATCAGAGCAGGACAGGCTAACAGAGTTCATTGCTGCCCTGTGTGATAATGCCCTCAAAGACAGGTCACGAACCCTGCTGGAAAAATCACTCGCCTTGAGAGACTTTTTTTAACCCCTCTACTGCCTGCGTTGTGACAAGATTAAAGCACGCAAAACCACAATGGTGGGATAAATGCAACTGCAAAGCAACCAACCGTGCCTGGAATGTGTCAACATGTTCAGATCAGTTACCCTGTATGGAATTCCCTGGTAAGTGAACACCAGATCCTCTCTCAACAAACCTGTAGTCATTGAAAATTAATGATCAAATCTGTTGACACCGTCCTCAGTTAATATTTGATTACCTTCCTCTCTTTAGATTAGTTGCATGTTACCACTAACTAGTTTTGACGGGCACTCGAATTTGCACAGCATTTTTTTTTGCAACCTCAGTGCTTTTAAACTAATGTACTTTTAGAATGTAAAGGTAAATTGCCCATTGTCCTACCAGACCATCAAGGCTCCTCTCTCATTAGAGAGAGACGACTTTTATTTTTTTTTTAATCTGAGGGTCAGCGTTCCTCAGGTAAAATAGGGAGAAGTTGAGAAGGAGAATCCCTTGTGGTAATCTCAGCCAGTGCGGGAACTGAACACCACACTGTTGGCATCACTGTGCATCGCAAAGCAGCTGACCAGACAATCGAAAGCCTTTCTGGTACAAACTTACTGTTATAATATAGGAAATGAGGCAGCCAATTTGACCGCAGCAAACTCCCTCAACATGACGTTTAGCACATTTTGTTTCTCTGCAAAGTGGTTGAGGAATAAATTTTGGGACACAGCACTGTGTCCTGTGTGGAAGATCCATGTACACCAACTGGCTGTGGACCCATTGACTTTTGCTTTTGGAATCTGAGGTCTGTGCAGCAACAATGTTTGGAGGGAACATGGCCCAGGATATCGAAGAAGGAGGAAGGATTTTTTCCTAGACCCGGCTTTTGAAAAACCATCAGGTATGGGATCAGTGAGAGTAGGAGCAGCATCCCCAGAGTGCCTCGCCCGAGATGTTGCAGTATGTTCCGACACCTCACTCAATATTATGCTCATCTCTGGAGCGGACGCTGAACCCACAACCTTGTGGCTGGGAGGTGACAGAGAGAGAGTGTCAGTGTTTTACTGACTGAGCCACAGCTACATTAATAATCGGGGTCAGTTTTTAAAATTGCTGGCTCACACACGAACGTAGGTTAGATGCACATCTGTAGGCTAGTGACAGAAGTTGCTTGTGTTTCTACACGCCTGGGATCAGAGCGCAAAGGTGAGAAACTGCCAATGAGCGGCTAACAAGACAATAACTTTCCACGCCTGGAAGTAAACTGTCTCCTGTTCATAAATATCAGGTGTAGCTGGATCTTGGTGCTGGCCTGAGCCTCTGCAAGTCACTGGCATTAAATTATTCAATGGAATTCCTTTTCTTACTGTACAGGGCTTAAGCCATTACCCGCCTTTTGAAACTACCTTAACATATCCAAAAATATAACAGAATCTAAAACAAATCGGGTTGACGTTGAAATGCCAGTACCAATAGTGCAATGTCTGGGACTCAAATAGTGGATCTCCAAACATCCTGCAGACATTGATCTATACTTTGTTAGACATGCAACTCACTTTTTGGTGTGTGCATACGCGCATGTGCACATGTGGTTTGGTTATCCTGCAATGGCCAATTTCTTCCTTACAAAGCTAACTGTCACACCCAAAGCTACCAGCTCTAGAGTATGTGATGTATACATTTTAATATGATGTGTTTTGAATTTTTGAGTAATGACATATTGGTTTTGCTGCGTCTCCGAAGGAACTAATTTAACTTGCAAGCATTTCTGTAGCCTTGGTGATTTTGTTTTGAGAGAGCTAGTTAAACTAGATTAACCTAACTTCTTAGTAAGGAGTTAGTGTAGTCCCAAACGAGAAATGTTTGTGTAGAAATGTCAGTGAAGCTGATAATGCTTAAAATCAGATGTAAGAAAGCTCTAGGAAGACGCTAACAAATTTTAAAGACTGGCAGTTAAGTTTAAGTCCGCCAAGGTGTTTAAATAAAGTGATTTTCGTCCTCTATGCAAGTAATTTGGAATACTGTATTAAACTCTGGTCTCCCTGCTCTAGCAACGATGTTGTTAAACTTGAAAGGGTACAGCAAAGTATTGCCAGGGTTGGAGCTATAGGGAGAGGCTGGGACTATTTTCCCTGGAGTGTCAGAGGCTGAGGGGTGACCCTATAGATGTTTATACAATCATGAGGGGCATCGATAAGGTTAATAGCCAAGGTCTTTTTCCCAGGGTGGGCAGTCCCAAACTGCAGGTTTAAGGTGAGAGGGGAAAAATTTAAAAGGCACATAAGAGGCAACTTTTTCACGCAGAGGGTGGTGTGTGTATGGAACGAGCTGCCAGAGGAAGTGGTGGAGACTGGCACAATTACAACATTTAAAAGGCACCTGGATTGGTACGTGAACAGGAAGGGTTTAGAGGGATATGGGCCAAATGCTAGCAAATGGGACCAGATTAATTTAGGAAATCTGGTTGGAATGGACGAGTTTGAACAAAGGGTTTGTTTCCGTGCTGTACAGCTCTATGACTCCACTGTAGAAGGGGTAATTTTTGGTACTACGCATGGGACAGTTTGCAATCCGTAAAGGATTATGCCTTTTTCGTGTATTTAAAAATCTTTAAAGTTTGTGTTATACATAGATCGATTGTTATTCTTTTTTATCTGCACTTATATTGATTAGTAAACTTCTGTTTTATTGTTAACACAAAATCAGCAACATCGTGTGCTTGTCTCGCCAAGAGACTGCCTCATTCAAACCAAAACTAGAGTAGTCAAACCAGATTTCACTCTGGCATCTGACTTCCACAATAATAACATTAGCTGGGCTTATAACAATCGCCATCAATATTAGTCAGTCAGCAATGAATTGAATCAGGAATTCAGGAGGAACCAGAGAGTAGGGTGTAGGGAATGAATGATTCGAGATGAGTTGTACAGATGTGCTTTGGAGGGTGCAGAAAAGGTTTACCAGGATGTTGCCCGGTTTGGAGGGTTATAATTACGAGAGGTTGGATAAACGCAGATTATTTTCACTGGAAAGACAGAGGCTGAGGGGCGACTTGATAGAGGTCTACAAAATGAGGACAGGCATAGACACGGTGGATAGTCACAGTCCTTTTTCCCTGCAAGGTGGAAAGGTCAACTACAAGAGGGCACGGCTTCGAGGTGAAAGGGCGAAAGTTTGGGGGAGAAGTGCGGTGAAAATTTATTTATTTTACAGAGTTTGGCGAGTCCCTGGAACATGCTGCCAGTCAAGGTGGTGAAAGCAGGCACGTTAGCAATATTTATGGTGTACCTTGATAGAGACATGAATGGGAGGCAGAGGGTCAGAAACAGTGTATGGGCAATAAGTGGTGGGTCTAAATAAGGATTAGGAATCGGCACAGGCTTGGTGGCCAAAGGGCCTGTTCCTTATTGGATTGATATATTGAAGTGGGAAACTGGAGTAGGCACATGAGGGAGAAGAAAGGAATTGAAGGATGTTGGCGAGGCCCCTTCTGGAGCACTGTGTCCAGTTCTGGTCACCCAGTTATAGGAAGGATATTATTAAGCTGGGGAGGGTTCAGAAGAGATTTACCAGGATGTTGCCAGGTATGGAAGGTTTGAGTTATAAAAAAGGCTGAACACGCTGGGACCTTTTTCCACTGGAGCACAGGAGGTTTATAAAATCATGAGGGGTATAGATAGGGTTAGTGGTAGTTGTCTTTTCCCTAGGATGGGGGATTTCAAAACTAGGGGGCATATTTTTAAGGTGAGAGGGGAGAGATTTAAAAGAGACATGTGTGGTCTGGGGGTGGAATGAACTTCCTGAGGGAACAGTGGATGCAGGTACAGTTACAAGATATTGTAAAGATAAGTACATCAATAGGAAAGGTTTGAAATGATATGGGCCAGGAACAGGCAGGTGGTACTAGCTTAGTTTGGGATTTGGGATTAAGTTCAGGATGGACTGTTGGACCAAAAGGGCTGTTTCTGTGCTGTATGACTAGGACATGATGACGTAGGTAAATGGACGAAGAGAGGGTTGGGAGGCGGCTTGTGTCGAGCAGAGGACTGAATGGCCTGTTCCTGTATTGAGTACTAGAGTGTGCTATGTAATTCTGCAGGATTGAGGGAGAGGGAGGGAGGTGGGGGGTGGAGGGAGTGAGAGAGAGCGAGCGCGCGTGCGCGCTTGAGAGAGAGAGACAGCATGCGCACGAGAGATTGGATGGCAGGGTGGAGTTAAGGGTTGAGGGATGCGATTGAAGGAATGGGTATTGGGGGAGGAGGAAGACGCAAGGAAACGACCTGGGCCCTCTCCACATACCTCCACGCCATTCCCATCGAATGTGCTGCAAGTAGGGGAGGAGGAAGGGCTTACACTGAAGAGGTTAGATGGAGGAATTCAGAAATCTCTGTGGAAGAGGCGTGACAGAAGGGGGGCAAAAATCAAACAGATGGGAGGCTTCTCTACTCTGAGATGGTGTAACTGACACAGATACAAACTCCCAAACCCCTAAAACACAAATGGCTATATTTTACAATCATTTCCCTGTCTCCCCACCCCCACACCAAACACATTCTGCATTTAAAATCTGCGTCAGAAATTTCAATTGATCAATCATTACACATCTTCACCAATTAACAGTCACATGTACGATAAATTTCTTTTTTGCTTCAGAAACAGGAGAGATCCCAGCAGAACCTGGAGGTGGAAGACATCAGTCTGAGGCTTCTCAACTGGCCCCAGAGTGGACGGAGTTCATTCCCTGACTCCTGTTCATTCGGTCCTCTCTAACCTCACCGCGTCTCGTCAGGGGAGGGAGAGGGAGACGGTTCCACCAGGTCCGCCCCAGAAGGAACATATACGGGTCTCTAACGGTTCACTGTACTCAGGTCGAGAGCCCCCCCAAGCCAGATGCAGAGCCAGAATTCTGGCCCTGCACCTGCATCTTCATCTATCCCCCCTGTCCCATTCTCCCCATCTCTACTGCCCTTAACCATGGAGGCCTGAAGTCTAGCTACCCACTGAGCACTGATTAGGGATGACAAACTCCTGCCCTTGGCCTTTAATGCAGCTCTAGAAGCCATACCGAACCAGCACTGCATTCGTTTTATTGCTTAGATTAGGAAATGCCAGATTCTAGAGATAGGACAGGGTTAAGATTCTTGTTCCTTCACCACAGCCACTTAGACGTGACTTTGAACTTTGCGGCTGGGTGGTTTCTTGCCTCTCTAAGGGAGTTCTAAATTCCGAGGGAGGGCAACACGGTGTCTCAGTGGTTAGCACTGCTGCCTCACAGCGCCACGGACCCAGGTTGGGCCCATCGAGTCCACGCTGACCCTCTGAAGACCATCCCTCTCTGGTGCTGCGAGGCAGTAATGCCAACCCAGAACCACCTTGTCACCCGAATCAGCTCACTTGTTTTAGAAAAATAGAACAGGAGCAGGCTATTTGGCCCTCCGGGCCTAGGTAGAGTTAGAATCACAGAATCCCTGTAGTGCAGATACAGGCCTTTCAACCTGTCGAGGCTGCACCGACCCTCTGGAGAGCATCCCACCCTATTCCTACAACTTCACGTTTACCAAGAGTTAACCCACCTTGCCCTGCATGCTTTGGGGTAATTTAGCATGGCCAGTGCACCTAAACAACATATCTTTGGACTGAGGGGGGAAACCAGTCGCAGATGAGCCAGAAAAACCCCATTGAAAGGATTAAGAGACTGAAGGGGCCGAACGGCCTCCTCATGTGGATTCTGGTGTCAGGAAGCCTAGGAACAGGAAAGGAAGAAGCCATTAGCCCCCATAGTGTCTTTGAACATTCAACCTGAAACCACCCTCCCCCGCCAACCCACCAAAATCACCCCGTGGTCACATTTTCCCCAGCAGAAGATTGACACGCAGTGAGGGGAAAAAGCAAGGATGGGGCCAATTGGTGTGGAGGGGAACCAGGTGATAGGTCGAAAAGACTGTTTGCTTGCCCAGGAGGGAGGCAAATAAATGTTTATCAGGGGCAGGGGTTGGGGCATGACTTCAGCTAGTTTCAAGACTGCCTCTTTCCGAACATCAACTCAACCCCTCCATCCCCCAGTGACAATCTCAACGGTGAAAACCAGAAGCTCTGTCCAGTCTCAGGCTAATGGTTGCTGGAATCCACCACCGGGCCCTCGGCAGCCATTTTGTCGAACCGCTCCAAGATAGCCTCCTGCGACAGTTTGGGCAACCCCCCTTCCAGAGGGCAGCCCTCCACCAGGCTGTTCATGGGGGTGGGGGGTAGGTAAACCTCGTCGCAGGCGGCCTCCTCCCCGTCCTCCTCCTGTCCCCTCGGGACCCGTGAGACAGTTCCCCACCCCCAAGAGACAACTGCAGGGTCTGACCGGCCAGCCTCCCAGGCCTTCAGGAAGTCCACGATGACGGGCAGCACCTTCTTGCGAGAGGCTTGCCCATTTCCCTGGTGGTAGGCCACGATTTCTGAATCTGGGCTGATCAGTGGCATCAGCTGTAACAAAGGGGTCTCAGACTCCTCCAGTGCCCGGCTCACCTATAATCATAGAATTAGGGAGACTCAGAGAGGAACAGTCCATCCCGTCGTCATGGGCCAGACCAGACCCACCACACACACACACACACCCCCCCAAAGTAGTGTAAAGGGACAGCCTAGACTCTTAACTTTTGTATTTAGAGGCAAGCATAAGATGCTGTGCTTCGCATAGGCTTTAATCAAACTACTATATTGTTACAACACAGTTAAAATACCAAAAGAAAAGGAAGAATTAGCATAATTTTACTTTAAGGTTTTGGAGTAGATTCTCAACCAACCTCAATAATTTTATTTTACTTTTGTTTTAGAGTCTTACAGCATGGAAACCGACCCGTCTGTCCAACTAGTCCACACCCACCATCTCCCCAAACTAATTTAGTTAGAAGCAAATTATTGCAGATGCTTGGAAACAAAAAGAAATGCTAGAGATCACAGTGGGTCAGGCAGCATCTGTAGAGAGACAGCAAACTAATGTTTCAAGTCTAGGTAACACTTCATCAGCTCTGGATGAGGCTGGATAGGCGAGGACCCTTTTCCACTGGAGTGTAGGAGGTTGAGGGGTGACTTTACAGAGGTTTATAAAATCATGAGGGGCATAGATAAGGCCGGTGTCTCTTCCCTAGGGTGAGGGATTTCAAGACTAGAGGGCATGTTTTTAAGGTGAGAGAAGAAATGTATTTTTAAAATCTGAGGAGCAATTTCTTTTTAAAACACGGAGAATGGCTCGTTGATGGGATGTACTACCAGAGAAGTGGTGGATGCAGGTACAGTTAAAAGTACGTGAATAGGAAACGCTTGGAGGGATATGGGCTGAGTGCAGGAAGGTGGGACTAGTTTAGTTTGGGATTATGGTCGACATGGACTGGTTGGACCGAAGGGTCTGTTTCCATGCTGTAGGACTCTATGATTGGTCAAGTCATTGCTCTGAGGAACGAACCAGAATGGTTGTCGTCCAGTTTATTAAATTGAATAACTTGGTAAATTGACACTCGCTGTGCCTTTAATAGCCTTTCTGCAAGCTCGTCTGACATTCACCCATTGCATTGACCCAGCTCTTCAAAAGGCATTAGGCACCCAGGACCTTACAAAAGTCTTTCATTTTCAAACATACATCGTTGAAACTTACTGGATTTACTTCAACGTACATACATCAGATAATGACCAGTCTCAATTCTCGTGATGCCTCCCAAGGTCAAATAAAACGGGTTTCCTCTCAATAACCCTGACTATCGTTTGTTGCAAAATACCCATCTGGTTCATTAATGCCCTTCAGAGAAGGAAATCCGCCCTCCTTACCCAGTCTGGCCTACACGTGACTCCAGACACCACAATGTGGATGACTCTTAGCCTCCCTCCAAGACTCTCACTCCACATCCCGACCAAATGTAGACTCTCAGAACCTACCGATTCTCTCAAGTTACAGTGTGGGCTGTAGACTGCCAATTGCCGGAAAGGTTCACTCTTCTGCTCGAAGGCGATAGTCATGACAACCAGAACGCTGTAGCCCCTGGCCCGACAAAATTCCTCAAACCCTTCTTTCAAGCCGGGACGGGCCAGCAACTCCTGCAAAGGGGAGGAAGGATCAGAGGTCAACACGATTCGTTAAAAACATGTCAAAACGACTCTGCTTCACAGAAACATTGGCAAGCGGGGCTTGTGAGCTCCGTGAGGCAATTCAACTGTGCTGTGCATCACAGCCAGACCCCAGTCCATTCCTCCCTCGCGCCAAATCTCGCTCCCACTTATTTATTTTCTCGAGGAGGCGGCTTCGCAGGTAACGCTAACATTTATTGCCCATTTCCAGAAAGTGGCAACAGGGAGGGGCCTAGGGACAGAAAGAGGCAACAGGGAGGGGCCTAGGGACAGAAAGAGGTAGGTAATTCAGGCAGTTGCTGAAGCAGTTTAGAATCAACGCAAGAGGTGGCAATCACCTGAATTACCTACCCAATTTGAGGAAAACTAATAGGCCACTTTTGGAATACTGCGTTCAATTCTGGTCTCCCTGCTGCGAGAAAGATGTTGTAAAACTTGAAAGGGTGCAGAAAAGATTTACAAAGGTGTTGCTAGGGTTGGAGGGTGTGGGCTATTAGGGATAGGCTGGGGCTATTCTCCCTGGAGCATCAGAGGTTGAGGGGTGACCTTATAGCGGTTTATAAAATTGTGAGGGGCATGGATAGGGTGAATAGCCAAGGTCTTTTTCCCAGGGTAGGGGAGTCCAAAACTATAGGGTGAATAGCCAAGGTCTTTTTCCCAGGGTAGGGGAGTCCAAAACTAGAGGGCGTTGGTTTAAGGTTGGTGGGGGTAGGGGGATTTAAAAGGGACTAAGGGGAAACTTTTTCATGCAGAGGGTGGTGCGTGTATGGAATGAGCTAACACAGGAGGTGGCAGAGGCTGGTACAATTACAACATTTAAAAGGCACCTGGATGGTTACTTGGTTAGGAAGGGTTGAGGGGGATATGGGCCAAATGCTGGCAAATGGAACTAAATTTATTTGGGATATCAGGTCGGCCTGGATGAGTTGGACCGAAGGGTCTGTTTCCGTGCTATACATCTCTGACTCTATGACTCCTAGATCTAAATTCTCCCGTACAAGGAAACATCTTTTCTATATCCATCTGCCAAGTCCTGTCAGGATCTTACACATTTCAATTAAGTCACCTCTAAACTCCAGAGGATACAGGCCTAACCCTTCCTCATAAGGCAATCCACTCATTCTGGGTATTAGTCAAGTAATGCATTAATATCTTTCCATAAGTATCAGTACACAATACTCCAGATGCGGTCTCACTAATGCCCTGTATAACTCGAGCATAACCTCCCTACTTTTTGTATTCCGCTCCCCTCACAGTAAAAATGGAACATTGTTCGATTTCCTGATTTCTTGTATTCTGCAGTTAATCTATTTGTAGGCTCCTCTCCATAACTCACTTTCTTACCTTTGCGTCATCAGCAAATTTAGCCACAATATTTTCGATTGTTTCGTCCAAATTATTTATATAAATTATGAAGAGTTGAGACTTTAGCAAGGGGCATTGGGGCATATCACTCGTGACATCTTGAAGACCCATTTAATCCTAATCTCTCCTTCCTGCAGCTGCCAATCTTCTACCCAATATATTATCCCTTACACAAGAAATAGGAGCAGGAGTAGGCCATCCGGTAAGATCATGGCTGATCCTTTCGTGGACTCAGCTCCACTTACCAGAACCCTTTATTCCTTTACTGTCCAAAAATTTATCTTTGCCTTAAAAACATACAATGAATTCGCCACAACTGCTTCACTGGGCAGGGAATTCCATAGATTCCCACTCCTTTAGGTGAAGAAGTTCCTCCTCAACTCAGTCCTAAATCTGCTCCCCCTTATTTTGAGGCTATGCCCCCTCGTTCTAGTTTCACCCACTGCTGGAAACAACCTCCCTGCTTCTACCTTATCTATTCCCTTCATAATCTTATATGTTTCTATAAGATCCCTGTCTCATTCTTCTAAATTCCCCTTACACTGTGGGCTTTTATCTTCGAGAATAACTTTTGATGTGGCACTTTTTGGAAATCTACAAGCCATCCATTAGTTCCCCTCTACCCATGGTCTAGTTACTTCTTCAAAGAACTCTAATAAATTAGCTACAAGGAGTTTTCTTTTGACCAAAAGGAAATCTGTCTGTACTGCTCGCAAAACAGAACTTTTCACTGTACTAAGGTATGTGACAACAATAAATAAATCAAACCTGCCTGATTACCTGGAATGTATACAAACACCCTGATATAACAGCTTTAAGTAATAGCTACTAACGTTAACAGATACTAAGCTAACTGGCCTGCAGTTTCCTGCTTTCTGCTTCCCTCCCCGTTTGAATCAGCTGTTTTCCAATCTAAAGGAACCGTTCCCAAATCTAATCAGCTTTGGTAAATTAAAACTAATACATTAACTATCTCATTAGCTATTATTTTTTAAGATCGTAGAATCTCTACAATGTAGAAGCAGGCCATTCAACCCTTTGGGTTCACACCTACCCTGCGAAGACCAGCCCACCCAGAACCACCCCGTAACCTCGTATTTCCCATGGCTAACTCACTGAGCCTGCACATCCCTGGATACTATGGGACAATTTAGCATGGCCAGTCCACCCTAACCTACACATTCCTGGATACTACAG